GCTACTGTGGGTAACCTGAACTCTGGTTGTTAGTGGAAATATCAGATCACAGAAGGATCCTCCAAAGAGAACAGTACATGAACATGAAATTATTTACACCTTTGTAACAAGGGGTATCTGATGCAAATGGACCAAATCCATAGGAACTTCAGTTCTTTGCTAAAGACATGAGCTCCCTTAAAACAGTAAATGTTTTTCAAATGTAAGATATATTAAAAATGGACCATACCCTTTGTTTTGTTGATCTCTTCCAGCAAGTAGTCAGATTCCTCCTGTATCCTCTCTTCAATGCTCCTCTTCCCCATTCCAAAGTTCCGCAGAGTGGTGAGAGCAAACCGCCGGACCTGTAACCACGGCTCGTTGTTGCTAAAAACAATCCCTGCAGAGGAAGAAGGAAGAGGGAAGAGCAGGCTTGGGCATGCTGGGTGTGGGATGAACAGTGGCTCACAGTGACAGAGAATCTTGTTCCTGCCCCTTGTCATGGTAGTGTCACAGAGTCCTGTGATTTGGAGTCAATCTCTGGAGGTTCTGTAGTCCAATTGTCTGATTCTGGCCTTCTCCACTGCATATGCAACCTCTTTGGGAATAATTGATCACTCACATCCACTCACAATTTCCCTTGCTGCAGCTGGTGGCTGTTGCCCCTTGTCCTTTCCCAGCCCATCTCTGAGAACAACTGGCTCCCCTTCTCTGCTACCTCTCCCTTTGGGTGGTGGAAGCCAGGAATTACAGCCCACTCTGCCTTCCCTTCTCCAAGTGGGACACTCCCCTCCCCTGGAGTGTTTCTTCCTGCATGGGACATTCCGCTCTAATCTGCTGAACACACCCTCAGCCCCTCCCTTCTCAGAAGGAGGGCAGTCAACAAACATACCTAATCCATTGTTGGTCCTGTCTCCTATTGGCATGCGTCCTCTGGCAGCAAACTCATCTGCACGATCAATCAAAGCTTCTTTCACTGCACTATGTCCGTGCAGCACCACCACTGGGTAAGAGCCCAGGTGCACTGTGAACACTGGTCCATACTCTTCACTGAGCTATAAAAATGCAAGAGAGAACATGGCCATGTAGCAAATAGGAAGACTTGAAAAGCCTCCTTGCTGCAGCATCCCACTGCAGGCAGCGAGCCTCACACACCAGCAACATCAAGATTTGGTCCTCTCATAGTAAGTGTGGCTATGGAGAGGAGTCCCAGGTATCTGGCCCTGAACAACAAGGGCAACAGCAACAAGGGGGAGCAGCTGCAATCCCTGTGACTCTGCTGCTCTTCTGGGATTGCAATTCATCAAGCTATAGCCAGAGGTTGTCCCCATGCATAGGTGCCACACGTGTCTGAGCCCCAGAAGAAAGAGAGAAAAAGAAAGTGGCCTTACCTTGTCAAGGGTCTTTGTCAAGTTATTTGATTTCACCTGTAGCAAGTTACCTAGAATGGGAAGGGGAGCTGGTCCTGGAGGCATCTTCCCCTTTCCAGACTTCCCTTTCCATGCTGCAAAGGAGAGCAGGCAAGCAAGGCAAATCAGGAGGACAACAGTGCCTGCTCCCAGGAGCTCCATTTGTTTCTGCAGTTCAGGAGAAGGTGGCTCTGGCTGCCAGAGTCCAAGTTTATATACTGAAGGGCTGTATTAGCTCAAGAACATGTTTTAGGTCACGTGGCTGAGTCAGTCAGTGTTATTAGTCAATCATTTGTTAGATTGCCCTGTGTTATGAAACTAAGACTTTTATTGCTAATAATTGGTCATTGAAGACACGCCTTATCTCAAACAACTGCAGAGGCCAACAGAGGCCAAGAAATTTATAATGTGCTCATAAATCTTGTTTTGTTTAACCTACAGTTAATTGTTAAAGGGATCACACTAAGGGTGCACTCTTGTACTGAGGCGCTCACAGTAATTTCCTCTCACGGGAGCATCTTCAGTGCCATTTGGGATTTCAATACTTCAGTATCAATTATGCAAACTCCCAGCGATGTCAGCCATCCTTGATTGTTCCTGAAATCTTCCTGACATCGGTAGAGTTTGCACTGCATATGATGTGCCAAAGGACATACAGACACGTTCTCCTCGGTGCACAGCAATTAAATGCCTCAGTCTCTCTCCCTAGGGGTGTCTGGCCTCACAAGAGAGGAAAGTATAAAATATCCATCTAGCAAGGGCAGAAAGGTCTCCAGACATCACAGTAGACAAGAAAGAACTTGCTTGCTGAGAGAAAATGAAGACATAAGAGAAGTGGATGAGGCCTTGGGACTCTGACCTCTTCAAGGTCTCCTAGAGGAGAAAACGATTGGCAAAAGCAGGCAGAGAAGAAAGAAAATCAAGAACTTGAGAGGGTCTCTGGGGAATGGCTTCTAAAACTGTGACAGAGATGCACTTGGCAGAGGCTGGGTATAGGTTAGTGCAACCTGGCAACTAGTCCTTGCACTTGTAAGGACCAAAGAAGCTCCCCCAGACTACTGCTGGAAGTTGCATTTAGAAGTTGTTGTTTTGCTATGTCTGATTCCAGTATGAGGAACTGCTGCCCTGGAAGGTCCTTAGGTGCTCTAGAGACAGCAGAGCATGTCTGGTGAAAGGACCCTCAAGGTTGTTCTCAGCTGGCCTTATATCTCTGTCTCTCCTGGACTGTGACACTTTGCAGGCAGACAGATCCAACTGATCGGGTGTTGCGAGGATAGGGGACGTAGGACTTGGTGGGAATTAGCGAGAGGCCTGGGTGAACTGAGTGCTTAGTTGGAGTGTGCTAATGTGAGTTTCCCCTTTCACTCAGAGGTGCTAGTGAAGGTCTCCATCCCTTGCCAAAGCTTCTGTACCTTCCCTCCCCTACGCGTTCTTAAGTCACCCTCGCTCTCTTGCACAGGTACAATAATTTGGTAGTTGTTCTTTTTAAATCTCATTTCACTTCTAAAGACCCACACTAGATATTTTGGTGGGAAAACTGAATTGCCAACAACTTTTGGCAAGTTGCTGATCTGCTGGCCTAAATTGCTGCATCAGCTCAGATGGTAGGGCAGTTCATGGAAGTTCATGTAGATTTATGGACCTTCACCTGATGAAAGTGAAGTTCATGAGAGTTTGCACTGCTATATGAGGTAGCTGCCAGCTAACAGCAGTCATGGACTTTCCACGTTGTCTGTAAAGTTCCCTTGTTCCCGTGACCCTCACTCATCAGCTTCAGGCTAGTGGACCACAGAGATATTTGCTTCACCTGCCTTCGTCCTCTGCATGTCCTGTTTGTGATGGTCTTGGGTGCTGTCTAAACTGGTGCTTACAGCTGGGTCACTGTAATGCAGGAGAACTATCAAATGGGTGAGGAAAAGATTTAGGAGGAAGAGAAACCTGACCGTTTTATCTCAGCCAGGCTGCTTCCCACTTTCTATAACAACTTCTTTCAAACAAAGCATTTCATTTCCATGAATTTCAGGCTCATTTCAAGTGCCTCGTATCCCTGTCCAGCGTGTGTGGGTATTAGGAAAGGGCAGTTAGCTGAAACGGTTTGTAACACAGATATTGCTTGGTGGATCTACAGCTCTCCCAGTGTTGTTTCACGTAGAATTATTCGTCAACTCCATGTAACCTTTTTTGCTGTCAGCATAAACAGAATATTGATGGGTTATAGTGTAATAAAGCTACCTCTCTGTAGCTTCAAAGTACTTTGTTACGTTTTACGCAATTATCAGCAGGTAATGGAATCAAATGAGGCATTCAGGAGTCAAGCAGTGGTGGTGAGATCTGAGCAAGCACAAGACTCAGCTTCTACAGAGATGAAGCCTCCCTCCCTGCCAAAGTCCAAATGTTTTCCCTGGCTTCTCTCCATCGTGTGCTGACTGTTGCACAGTGCTGTGCAGACATCCAGGAGCTGGAGGGTCTGATGAGGGCAGAAGCATGAGTGGCTACCAGTGGAAGTGCATTATCAAGGGACAAGATTAGAAATCCCACGCATCTGATGCACACACCATGCTGGGATGTGTGTGTGTTGATTTACTCCCAAAGAAATAAGCACAATACAAAAGAACATGGGTGGCTCAGGATATGCCAGCACTCCCACTGCAAAACATAGGGCATAAAAAGGCATGCATAGACACAAATGTGTGCATCACCTCTGCAACAGTGTAAAAACATTCACACCTCCACTGCATGAATGCAGACACATCTGTATGGAAAGATGGACAATGAAGCGTTCACTCAGTGTGACTGCCTGGTGCGTGGCTAGGGAGAAGGATCTACATGAGACACACTGCAGTTATAGGCAGGCAATGGTTGCTGGAAAGGCACAGTTTTCTCTGGGATCACAGAGACTTCCCTTACGTGTGCTTCAAACCCATCTAAGGGACCCCCTGCGAGTTTTTGGGAGAGGGGTTCCAACAGAACACACAGTCCTGCCACCTGCCAGCCACGCCTAGACCAGTCCTGCAGCTTATCACCTGTACAACCACACTGCAAACAGGGCTGTAAGTCCATAGCCAAGAGTGTTTACAGGGAATCAACACCTTTTAGGTGTGCAAAGCCTCCTGAGCTCCATAGTTTCCCACAGATTTCATGTGAGGGGCTATTTTTGTGCTATCACATCAGCACCCTATGTCTGGCATTTGAAGCAGTGTCAGCTTTAAAAGAATAAAAGAGCAAAAGTGTGTGTTCACTCAGTTTCTGGCACTCATGCCTTGTAATGAGTAATTAGAGCAGCAATAGGGCACCTGGGGAAAAGCAGCCAGATGTCCTGCATGTCTTGGCCATTGGAAGAACTCAGAGTGACAAAAAGGATTTGAAGACCCTGCTGGGGCTCTACAGTATGAATACAGACCCATCTCTTCACATTAGCTCAGCTTTTGCCCTGTGGTTTTCTTCAAAGGGTGCAAGCAGACTGCTTGGTTCAGGTGAGGGCAATGGAAGGTGCTAAAACTGCTGGGCTGGGCCCACCTGGACACTACAGGGATTTCTGATCCCACCTGGCTCCACAATTTAAAAGGGCTAGGCTAAGCACAGCTACCTCATGGTCCTTGGCAAGAGAGCAGGATGGGTGTTGTAGGGCAGTCTGAGGCTGTATTGGGTGCTATGCTTTTCTGGGTGTTTCTTGGTCCCCTGGCTTTGGTTGTGGGTGCTAGTGGTAGTGTTTTTTCTGATCCTACCCTATTGACTTGTGGCCCAGAAAGCTTCCAGCTCACCTTACCTCTGGGCTGGGAAGGGAATGCTTCATTATTGCTGACTACTTGGGGTAAGTGAGGGCGGTGTCAAGAGGCATTTGTAGCCCTATCTTTGCACACTGCAGAGGTATGCCTGGAATGAGGAGGAAGGAGTGGGTTTTGATGAGAAGTGCTGCTGAACAGCTTTTAATGCATCTTGTATAACTAGGGGGATGTTTATATGACCCAGAAGTCAAGGGTTTTGGTGAAGTAGTGGGCCTGGATCTAGATGGTCTTGGCTGCTGGATACTCTTACGTGCCCCTCTGCTGTTCCAGACTCTAATGCTGGCTAGGTCCCTGTTTCCTACAGAAAGGTAGGATTGCAGTGGACCCTATCTGTAATGTGGGATGTTAAAGCCACTGCTTCTGTCTTCTCTTCTATAGATACTGAGGGGAAGGCACATGCTCTGCAGAATGACTCTGACTGTGGGCTGTTGGTATCTGGGACTCCAGATGGCTCCAGGAAAGTACTGGTTTCTTATACTGGCTGTTATATCCTTGAATGGGTGAGTGGCCTTATGGATTCTGCTGGGACTGTGGCTACTGCTGCTCTGGCTGCCCTGACTGGTGTGGTTTTCCCCTAGGATGGCCATTACCTTCTACTGGTTGGACTTGAAGGAACAGATGCCACTGGGCAAAAGGTTCTTCATGAAGAGACGCTGCTCAGGTGCCCTGTGGACGTTCCTGGTAAGATTGTGACAGCTGCTTGTATCTTGTGGGGATGAGTGCCATTCCTTTTTGTTGGCTAGTCAGTCTGGGGGCTAGGAAAGGGGACTTACTTCTGTGCAGAAAACTGCCTGGAAAAGGGTTTGGACATAGGAACCACCAGCTTGCTGGGAACTTGCATGTCTTCGCAAGATCAGCAGGTGAGCATGTTCATTGTGTCTCCTAACCACATTCTGGCTGCTTGGGTTCCTGCAAGTTCAGAGATCGGACCAGACACTAGATACGATGATTTTTCTAACTACCAAGAGTTGATCCAAAACATTTATTTTGACAGATCTCATACAAGTCCAGTCTCCTGTATGTGGCTTCTGGGGAAGACTCTGTTGCAGGGAAATGCGTGTCCCTTCTGAGGAGGCTTCCATGCTGCTTCCAGGCCATGTGTTTAACCCTCACCTGACTCTAATTTCCCTTCATTTGTATGCAGAGTCACCAGAACACCTTCCACCAAAGTCCTTTATGTCTCTTGTCCCCCTGATCTTGTGCTTTGGCTGCAAACTCCTGCTGTTTTTTCCAGCCCTAGATGCTCCAAGCAGTGGTTTCTGTTCGGCCGTTCCCAGCCAGGACCGGCTGCCGTGTGCCTCCTTGCCTGTCAGCCAGGGAAACTGTGAAGCGCAAGGCTGCTGCTATGACCCTAGAGACAGGGTAAATCCTTGCTACTTTGGAAACACAGGTAAGCCTGAGCAGCTGTCCCCCCTTCCTGTTGAGTTGCTTCTAAACAGGATTGCTCACTTTGCTGTCAGAGCAGGATTGGTGTGTTATTATCAGCCCTACAGGTGGCTTAGAGCCATGTTTTTGCCTGTCAAGAATACCATGTTCTGTTGTGGTGTCCAGCCTTTTCAAGTGTATTGCAACAGACCTGGGTTTATGGCCAGAATCGATGTTGCTGTTAGAGCTGGTTGTACTTGTCTTGCCCTGCTTAGCAATTGTTTCAGGGCTTAAAGGCAGGAGAACTCGTAAAACTTTCTGGCCTCATCTTTGCTGTAATGTTTGGGTCTCTTTTCCATCCTTCTTCTCCCTGAGCTTAAGACTGCTTATATCTTTTCCTCCAGTGACAGCTCATTGCACAGCAGATGGCCAGTTTTCCATTGCTGTTTCTCGGGATGTGACCCTGCCACCCATTGTCCTGGACTCGGTGCAACTGGCCAGTGGACACAGTACTGGCTGTGTTCCTACTGTGAAAAACAATGCATTTGTAGTGTACCGGTTCCCACTCTCTGCCTGTGGCACCACTGTTCAGGTAAGAGCTGCAGCTGTCTCTAGGCTGCACTGCAGAAGCTTACAGACCTGGAACAACCTGCTGTGGCTTTGGCTACTTAATGGACACCCTATAGACTTCCAGAGGCTAAGTACTCTTCTCCAGCCTTGTAGTGATCCAGCCTGACTTTACCACAGTGTTGGTGCCTGTCTGTCTTTGCAGGTGACTGGAGACCAGGCCATATATGAGAATGAGTTGGTGGCATCCAGGGATGTGAAGACTGCAAGCCTTGGCTCTGTCACTAGGGATAGCACTTTCAGGTATTACCCCGGGGCTGATGTTGTGTTCAATGTTACTGGAGAAATTCCTGCTTGTCACAAGCTCTGAATTCACAAAAGCACCCTGGCGTAACTAAGGACTGGTATGTCTCTAGTTAGTGAGAATAAAGGTGGTGCTGATCAGTGACCCTCTGGAGATTCTCAAATCCAAAGTCCAAAGAGAATTTCAAGTATTTCTTAAAAAGAAGTGTTGTAAGGAAGATTAGGAATCCTAGGAGCATAACTAATTAAAGTAGGTACTGTGTTGCCGTATTGGGACAAGGGGATATCAGAGTGACTTTTATCTACCTGATTTGGAACTTTCCTGTCCTACCAGGTTACATGTGCGATGTAGTTATTCCATCAGTGGGAGCTCCATTCCCTTGAGTGTTCAGGTCTTCACATTGCCACCACTCCCTGCTGTGTCCCAGCCAGGTCCTCTGTCCTTGGAGCTGCGTGTTGCCTCAGGTAGAAGAAGTCTGCAGGACTTACTCAAGCCTCTTGGTGAAGGCTCTGGTCTCTGATAAGGTCTCTAATAAGGGAGTATTGACTGGTTAATGCAGCACTATTTCCCAGCTGTGGTGGGAACTTACAGATATGCCTATAAAGGATATTCTTGAAATGCCTCTTGTTGTTTCTTCCTGCTCTAAAATGGCTCTTTGGTTTCTTCTGCTCCAGATGGAAGCTATACTTCCTACTATACTGACAGTGACTATCCTGTTGTGAAGACTCTGAGAGACCCTGTTTATGCAGAAGTCAAGGTCCTTCAGAGAACAGACCCAGACCTGATTTTAGTTCTGCACCACTGCTGGGCCACACCAAGTACCAATGCCCAGCAACAGATGCAGTGGCCAGTTTTGGTGGATGGGTAAGTTCCTTGTCAACAACTTTGTGTCAGGGAAATAACTTGCTCTTTTTTGACTGCTTGCCTCTCTTCCTCAGGTGCCCTTATGCAGGGGACAACTATGAGACACAACTGGTACCTCTGAGTTTTGCCTCAGGACTACAGTTCCCCTCTCACTACCAGCGTTTCACCCTCTACACCTTCACCTTTGTGGACGCTGCTTCCCAAGAGAAGCTCTCTGGGCTGGTAAGATCCTATCCTGGCTGCCTAGCTTCGGACAAGTAAAATGTGAGCAATAAGAACCATTTGATAACTATGAAGGGCTTGGCCTTCTTGTGAGGGAGACAGGGGGCAAGGTGGTGGCAAGAGCAAAGACTAGGAAAATCCTCTCCTGAAACAAAAGTGGATAGGGTGATGCAAACTTAATTCCCTGAGATGAATGTGGTAAAGATAAGATTTATTGCTGGAGGGGTGGGACAGAGTATGAGCCTACTAGGAGGTAGCCCTAAGGGTTATTTTGTTGCCTAAGCTGTTCTGGTGACTTAGTTTAGGTTGTGTGCTCTAGCTATGCTAATGAATAGTCTCTACACCAAATTTCTTAGCCAAAATGACTTGAAATAGCTTTGAGTAGCTGTGAAGCATCTGGGCTCTGAATGTTGTGAATTTCTGCACAGTTAAGTCATATGAAGTTTACCCTGCCTTGTGCTGTTTGCTCAGCACTCCTGGAACCACTTAATACTCAAAACAGGTCACAGCTGTATTCAACATTGGTCACAGTGTAGTGGTGCTTGGGCAGCTGTATCCCAGGTGGGTGGGTGAAGTGCTGTAATGCCGGATTTCACCGAGTTTGAAGGTGTTTGGTAAAGATACTGAAGCCGCCTTGCAGCGGACAGCAGAGGGCTCCAAAGCTACAGCCTGGATTTGAAACAAGCGAAAACCACCTGCCTGCCTTCTTTCTGTGACCAGATGTGCTAGGTCTGGCTGGTATGGAATTAACTCTTCTCATAGCAGTCCACATGTTGCTGTGTTTTTGGATTTGTGTCTAAAACTGTGTTGAAAGCATTCCGATTGTTCTCACTGTTTGCGGAATAGTGCTTGCACAGTACCAAGGCTCTTTCTCCTCTCTCTCCTGTCTTTCAACCCCAAGAATATTCCATGCTGGATGATTTCATGCTCAGCAATAAACCCTGGGGGATTTCTTCTTCCAGTGTAGCTGATGCTCTGACTGTCTGGGCACCAGTCTGCCTGTAGGAGCAGAGTGGGTGATTTGCCTTTACATCACTTGTGCTATGGTTTTGTTCTTCTCTCTCCTTTCCTTCATTTAGGTAACTGTCTTTATCTCTCCAGCTCCAGGTTTTCTTGCTTTTGTTCTTCCTATTCGCTCCCTGCCCTCCTGGGGCAGAGTCGGGGCAGTGAGGAAGTAGCTGTGTGGGTGCTTAGATGCTGGCTGGGGTCAAAGCATCGCAGCAGGCTATCACCTGTCTATAGATGCTGCCTGAGTAATTCCAGGCTGTGTTCCATTCTTTCTAGGTGTACCTTCACTGCAGTGCTTCAGTGTGCCACCGGTCTGTACAGGAATCCTGCACCACCCCTTGTCCTGCTAGAGCCAGTAAGTGTCCTACCCTTTTGCTTCACTATCCAAAGGGGCAACAAGGGTCTAGGCTCCAAGATGCAGGGGTAGGGGACACATAGAGACCATGGACTAATTCCCTTGAGCCATGGTCAGCTTGACAAGGCTTTCCGCTGACTAAAGGCCCTTGCTCTTATGCCAGAAGGGCAGAGGTCTTTGTGGGCTCCTAATTCTGTGTGGACTCACGTGGAAACTTTGGCCTTCAGAGCTTTGTGTGTGTTGAGAAGCTGACCTTCAGGGCTATCCATCTCAACTACAGCCTTCACATTGCTCTGTAGGGGGTAAAAGGAGCACTGAGCATCACTTTCAGGAAGGTGCCTCCCACGTCTCTAGCAAAGGCCCTGTGATTTTCCTCCCGGATGAGTTAAGATGGGACACAGCGAAGGATGGCCTTGGTAAGTGAGGCAGCCCAGCATGGCCAGCCTGGGGAAGAGGGCTGGTCTAAGGCTTTTCTGCAGAAAGACAGAACCCCCAGAGGAAGCATCTCTGTGCCTCACTGAGAGCATTAATTGGGTTGTCTCTCCCCCACAGGAGCAGCTGTGCACGCTGCAGCCCCCTGGGCTCTGGCCTTTGCTGCTGTGGGAATTGGGGCAGTTCTGTGCATGGTCCTCGTAGCTGTTGTGCTGTGGCAAAGGAAGGTGTCAGCAAGGTGTGAAATCAATGGATTGCAATAAAGTGGCCTGTAAAACCACTTGGTCTGTGGTACCACTTCTTCTAGAGACCATGGCTTTATTTGCAAGGCAAAAATTTTCTCTGTGGCTGTGAAAGCTCTCCAAATGCTCTAAATCCACCTCCCTTTCTGGAATTCTTCTGCTCTGGGTTTGGTGTTCACGGTCTACTGGTTACAAGAGAGAGCTGTTTTCATGGCCTGGTCTGCAGACTCTGAGGCAGGAGTGATGCTGGTGGGTGGTGTCTGCATTTGTCTCAGTGACTGAGGTAGCCTTCAAAATTACTGTCCTCTGCTGCCTTCCAACACCGAGTAGAAGTGCAGCAAAACTAACTAAAAGTGGATCCTGCACCTACTGCTCCTTTGGGAATGCAGAGCAGCCACTGTGACTGTGCAGAGGAGCTGGAGACTGCCTGCTTGCCTGAGTCACTAGGTAAGTCAGGGCTGTCCTCAGGTGCCAGGACTAGAAAGCAAGGATGCCAAAGCACTGCACAAATGGACCTTTCTAGTGATGCTGAATGTGTGAACTTACATCTCTTGCCCTAGAAACAGAAGGCGGCATGTGGAATTTTCCTGGGGAATGAGAACAGGGAAACATCATTCTAACTGAGAGAAAATACCCAAGGGGCCTAGGTGGTTTGAACTTCAGGGGAAAAAAATCAACCTTTAAATAAAGATTAATCGCAAACATTCAGGTGAGAGCAGGCAGTTAGTCTTCAAAGCTCTTGGGTTAAAGCTTATTTGACATCACTGTGGGCATAACAGTGTGGTATTGTCCGCCACAGCAGCTGGGCAGCATTGTTCTTAGCTCTCTGAGGTGCTGGGTGAAAGGAGTACAGCAAAAGTCTCCAGGCACCAGGGGAGGAAAGGGGCTCCACTGTTTCCTGCCCAGCCTGGGGGAGCTCTGGTGTTTGGACTTACTCTGAGATCCCCTAATAGCTAATGGGGTACTCCTTGATGGGAAGGAAAAATGTATTTCCTTTTTTCCCCACAGCTTGATCAGAAATTCCCCCTGCTAGGGCAGGAGAAGAGTCTCAATTGTACTGCTTTGGAGCCTTTAAAGGGGAAGAGTAGCTCTTAGACATGGAAGCAAAGAACTGATCAGTAGCTTGCTTGAGGTAGCAGATATTGTTCTTTTTAATTAGGTTCCATGCTGTGTGATTAGAGGGTGTTAAGGTGCTGGAATCTGCTTTTGAATTCCTTTCCTACTCTAAGAAACTTCAGGAATCATGTTCTTATTTTTCCAGCAGAACTGCTACTTCCTGGTACTTTCCAGATAATCAGTGACTTAGTCTTGCCTGCTTTTAATCTAATCAGAAGAAAAGACTGTTCCGAGTTGTGTGGTGGGAGGGTGAAGGAGCTCACAGGCTGGAAACAATCTTCAGCTGAAGATAGGTCAAACACCTCCTCCTTTAGGGAGTGCCTCAAGCAATTAAATGACCTGGGTGCAGGTGGAGCTCTGTCTGGGAAAGCAGAGTGAAAACGCATAATGTGCCTTATGACAAGTCCTTAGCAGCTGTTTGTAGTGTTAATGAACTCGGCAATTAGAGGAGTAATATAAAGCACACCTTTTCAGCCCACCAGGCAGGGTGTTTTGGCACTGGTCTTAATTGAGTGTTCAAAGCTTCCCTGGTTGCTTCTCCCTCAGTAAGGAAGACAGAAATATTTACTTGGAGAGCTTGGATGCCTGTGTGGACGCTGAAGGGGCTAGGAGAGCCAAGTCTCTGCTGCCCCTCCGTGGTGTTGCTAAGCCATCCTGCAGTGGCAGGAAGCTCTGGCTCAATGGCCTCTGGGAATCCGACAGAATTCCCCCGCAGGGACTGTCCCTTCTGGTGCACAGCTGGGTCTTTCTGTAATGGACCTGCTGCTTAGTGTAGGGTGCATGCAGTGCCAAGTGTGTAAACAGAGAAGTGAACTTCATTTTCTGGGAGTCTTTTGTGTTTAAGGCTTGCTACTTGGTCAGGAGGACAGGGCAGGAGCAGCAGAGAGATGCAAGCTGTTTCTGTGAAACCCTGGCACAGGGTGGAGGGCTCCGTGGAGGTTTCCTCCCGTGGTGCATTGGCCCGATTTTCTTTGCTTGTTCTCCAACTCCCCTGGGGTGTTAATGGCTCTCGTGACTCCTGCTGTGCAATTTTTCCTTCTGTGAAAGTCTATTTTCCTTCTACCTTCACAGATGTGTTTCTGACTTACTTTTTTTCTAGGCCTCTAGTTGGGTCTCACTGACTTTTGAGTTCCCTGCATGTGACTTCTCGTGTCAGCACCCTCTTCAGCTCCACTGTGTACCACCTGGTTGCACTATTGAACTCAAGGTGTTGTGATGTGCTGTAGACAGTGGCTGAGACTCCTGCAGGTGAAGGAAAGCTGCTCTGTCCAGGAGGGTGCTGCTGGCTGGGAATGAAGGAGCTGAGGAAAAGCAGCCCTGAGGCCATCTGTCAGTTGAGGCTATTGTATGCAGTGCTGTCACTGAACCCAGATTTACAGAAAGAGCACCCTGGTGCTGAGCATCAGCACACTTTGCCCTTAGTGCCTTTGTTGGTTCTTCTTGCGGGCTGCCTGTGGCTGCCCGCTCTGTGGCTTTGGAAGCAAAGCCCAGCAACAGCAACTAATACAGGGCTGCTCAAAGTTAACACTTCCCCTTTGCTCTATCTGAATTTTCCAAAGGCTCTCTTTGCCCTGTAGATCTTTAAGTACAGCACCTGCTTCAAAAGAGCAAACTTGTTTCTTTGCCAGAGTTCAAGTTCTTTAGAAGCTTGGAGGTAACAATTCTTTTCCTGACCAGCTATGCTCACCTGAAACCCTAAAGGTGTGGCAGTTGCTATACTACAAGCCAGGTGCTCATTAATGAAATCTGAAGACAATTATCATAATAATCATGCTTTTATTAAATTTCTTATACTTGTATTACAATGCATCCTGGAGTAGAGAACTATACAGTATGTTACACATTATAAATACATTTAATTCTGAAAATACATGAATATATTTTGTATAATGCTATAATAAAAAAAGAGTGCTAGCTCATATGAGTTGAAAAAAAAATCCAAACCACCAAACTTATACCATGAATGGAGGTGGTGGTAGGAAATACCAGTTCATGATGCTACGTCTTAAAACACATTAAATTCAGTTTGCACTGATTCACATTCCTTACAGTCTCTGTAAAGCTGCAGAGATAATGGAGGGTGTATGTAAATGCAGGATTTTTGTTCCCTGTATTTATGGAGATATATAGATTATTCACAGAATAATCAAGTAATAAATCTTTCTAGCTTTGCATGAAGCTAGCAAGATACGCAGTGAATAACCAAGTCCTGCAGCAGCATCAGCTCTAACTGAAACATTAAACATAGCACCTACTTTAGGGAGCTAACTCTTAGTCAGCACAGACCTTTCTCTTTTTAATTGGGGTTTGGTTATTTTGTATATTTTTCCTGGGTTTTTTTTGAGGTGCTACTTAACAACATTAGCAACCCTTCTGAGTACTTGGAGAAGCAGGTGTGGGCTACTGCCTTCACTCATCCCTGTAAACCACAGCTGCCCTGGGAGAGCATGGCTGAGCTGTCCTAAATTCCAGAGAAGATGCTGCTCTGGTTTGGAGGACTCCAAGGGCTCCAGCTGATCTGGGTGAGCAATGGAGAAGCATCTCCTACTGAAAGACTAAGTCTGTTAAAGCTTCTTAAACCTTGGTTCCCAGGCAAGTTTGGGTTGGGGAGAGTTTTTAAACACCAATTGCTTTACTTGTAATTCTATTTTAATTTAGGGGATAGAATGATGCTTTATCAAGCGGCAAGGTTAGTTTACTTAAATCTTTACTCCATGTGCATTAGTTATTTTGCTAGTACCAATGAGAGCTAGTGTGCAGGGACCACTGCAACCATGGGACTTGCAGAAGCATGCCCTGTCTGTTCCTTGAGCCTGGAATCAGTGAACACGTGGCAATAAGGCAGCCACCAAATACACTCATAGTGTTACACCGTTCTTAATGTATCCCAAAAGAGCACCAGTTTATAAGGGTGTATTTGAATAACTGCCTTGCAGCTCTGCTCTCCCTCTCACCTCTTCCCATCAGAGACTGCTGGCTGAGCCACACAGCAGCATGACTGCTCCACCTACAGCAGAGGACTTAAATGTAGCTTAAAAGTAGGAATTCAAGCCTGGTGTCCCACTTTGCTCCTCTTCTCTGCCCCAGCCCCGTCCCCCCCCCCCAAAAAAAAAAAAAAAAAAATTAAAAACCAAACACCGAAAAGACAGAACAATTAAAGGACTGATAGCACAAGAGCTGGGCTGCCCAGTGAAGCAGAGGCACATTGCCCTGCGTGCACCCTCCAGTCTCTGGAAAGGCTGATTCCTGCAGTACCTCTCCCACTGGTCTCTACAGTGAGCATGCACGATGCTGACGTCTGTGTGGGGTAGTACTGGAGTCTGGGGGCCTCTGCAGAAGGAGTAGGCTCACGGGATGGGAAGCCAGTCATGAATTCAGGAATTACTTCAGCTTTACACACTTGGTTTTCTTGTTGAATTCCAGTGAAATGGCACAGCTGGACATATGCTGCTCTGAAGGGAGGAGCTGTGCTGGGAACAGAGACTGCAACTGAGGCCCCCCCCGGGAGGAGGCTGTCCTTTCAACAGCCACTTCTGCACTGGGCAAGGAGTCCCTGGCAATCCTTAGATGATGCTGTGTCCCATAAAGTTTACATTTATTTGGGCTGGAGAAGGTCTCCAGAAAGCAATGACAGTCAGTTTAAAAGTTTCAATGTTTCATGTAATTCTGTTCCAGATTGAAGGAAGGATTTCTGAGTCTTAAAACTCTCTGTTGGTTATGTTGCCACGATGCAAATAGCAGTTTTTCATCCATGACTTTTGTAAGTACACTTCATGTTCAGGAGAGAAGCCATAAATAGCTGAGGATGCATCTACTTACAGACCTTTTTCAACCTCCCCCTTCCCTCTTTCCCTTTCCATGCTCAAATCAGAGTTGCTCTATTGACAACTGTAAGATGCAGATTGCACAAAGTAACCCTGGGGTTCTTGGGTTTGTGTCCTTTGGTGTTCTCACGTTGCCTTTCTGAAACAGACACATGCAATGAATGTGAGATTGGAGAGAGTTTCTCTGCATTTAACCTGAGTTGGGAAGGTGGGAGATGAACTGAGGCTGGTTCTCATTTAATCTTTATTATGGACAGATTGTCTCGTTCTCAAGACATTTGGTTGGCTTATTATTTGGGAGTCTTTTTGACTGACTGCAGATAAATGAATTTGCTCCTGTATTCTTTTTGTAAAAAGGCTGAATGATGTAGCCCGTATGACTACAGTTGCCTTTAAATTGTGGGTTAAAATGAAAAAAACCACAACAAACCAAAACCCAACAAACCAAAAATTGGAGGACTATTAAAATGAATATATATGGGGTGTAAACCCATATAATCTGAACTTCAAAAATCAGACCTGTTGCTGTCTTTGCATGCTGAGGTATGTCTGGATGAAGGAACAGGACTACCTCATTTCTGTGCTGAGAAGGGGCAAAAAAAAACCCCAACCCACAAAGAAACACATGCTGTTTTACTTATTTTACCTTGTTTCATTTGTCTTGGGTTATCAGAAAGGCCACATGTTTTCATTCTTTGTATTTTGTCCCAGAACAATCATGGAGTTCCTCTCAGTTTTCTTCAGCTCCGAAGACATAATATCTGGCCTTAACAAATGGAAAAATACAATTGAATTTGACAGGGGTCAGAATGCATGGCTGTGTTTTTAACATTAATATGCTGTGCATATGTACCCAACATCCAAGCTATACCAAAACAGCTTCCTTTTCTCTAGTCTGAAATTCCAAAACAGATGCTGTCCAAATATTTGTGGCAGCATGGAAAAAAAGAGAGAGCCACAAAATGTAGCGCTTGGCATGGAGTCACACTGTAATGGATGGACACAAACATCATATTGTTGAGAGCAACCAGTATTTTCTGCCTAGCTAGCAGCCAGGGCATAGACTCATAGTTGAATGTCGCAGGGAAGTTACAAATTCTGGCTTGAAGTACTAAATAGGAAATTAAGTGTTTTGAAGACCAACACTAAGCTAGCTGCTGTGGACTGTCTTCAGCCTATTTTTTTGTTCATTATTTATTACACATGATTGAAATAAGTGTAATACCTCCTGTTTGGTTGAAATGACTTAGCTTAGGTCTCTGGGACTTATGAGAGACAAACCTTTTAAAACACCTTCTAAATATTTCTTTAAAATAGCTTCTGTTTAAGAAAGAAAAACTCTAGTTTGGTGTTTTTAAAAAGCAAAATTTGAAAGTTATTTGCAGAAAATATATGGCTATTTATTTCAAGTATTTAATTTGAAAAATTTTCAACTCCAAGTCCTGACTGATGCAGTACACTCTTTTTCTTGCCAGCCACTGCTTTGTTTTTTATCTAAATGTTGTATGTTTTTTTTGTTTGTTCAGCTCTTAGTTCTTTTGCAATTGGATGGTCAAACTTCTGCATTGATGTTGTTTTTTAATTCTTTGTCTGTTTCTCAACTCTGAGCACAGCGATCTCCCTTAGTAGTAATTTCCCAAGTAAAGAGCAGGGTTTAGATTTGGGTCTGAGGTTCTAGGGACCTTTTCAACCTTTGCTATACAGTATTGAAGATAGGGGTTTGTAATATTAGAGCTGCACTGTCCTTCCTTAATTATTTCACCCTAACCACAAAGTAGGTGTCATACAGCAGCAAGCTTTTGATGGCTTTAAACTGAAACAATTATCTTTGCTATGAAAAATACTGTATTTTAGGTTAGCTCATGCCCGTGCAGCTGCATTAAAGCTACAGCTCCCACAGATAGCCAGCTGGCTATGTCTGCACAGGAATGTCAGGAGGGGATCACTCAAAGCTGCTCACGTTAGATCCTGTCCTGGAAAGCTGGGTCCATGTGCTGCCTAAGTTCATAACACTATGCTCAAGTCAGTCATCAGCCTGTTCTGCCTCTTTGCACAAAATAGATGTTGCTTTGCAGGAATAATAGTACTAGCAGGAAAAAGAAAATGAAATGAAAACCTGAGCCTGTTTAGAACAATGTCTGACAAACCAGAATCTTGTACCAGTATGTTTACCTTGGCAGGCCCTCCTCTCCTGCTAGAAGAACCAAGTTCCCTCTCTGCTATGAGAATTCTTTTCTGGNAAAAAAAAAAAAAAAAAAAAAAAAAAAAAAAAAAAAAAAAAAAAAAAAAAAAAAAAAAAAAAAAAAAAAAAAAAGGAGAGAGAGACAGAAAAGAAAAACAAAACAACTGCCCTGGAGGAGATCATTCATCATACACAGAGTGGGAGCATAAAAGGGGATTTGCTTTGACCTAGTTACAAAAACAAAAACAAAGAGACTTTCTCTAATTGCCCAAATGACTCAAGTGGGACTGGGTGTCAAAAGCAACAAACTCTGCTTCCTTTGGAGCTGTATGTTAATATAGGGCACCGGGATCCAGCCTGTTCCAGTTCGAGACCTGGAGCTCAAGGAAGCCCGGGTAAGCAAAAGCCAGCCAGCTCCATATGCCTGCATGTACAAACAGGACTAGGAGCCAGGACAAACATGTTTCATGAATTATAACAAAGACAGTGGCTTTAAATGCTGAGAGTATCAGGCCTTCAAGGTTTGCTTTGCCAAGAGCTGCAGATGAGTGAGACTTTCTTGTTTTTCAAAAGGTCTGTCTGTCCAGCAGCATTTGCTGGCCTGTAATTGATCTGGTCTGTCATTGATCCATTAAACTTAACCTTTTATTTCATAGGAGCCTGAAGGCAACTGCATATCCAAATGCCACATGAGCAAGGTGCCCAAATTTTCCAGGCCAATGTCAGTACATTGTTATTGCTGGGTTTGGGGTAAAAAGAGCAAGATCAAATACAGACAGGGCTAGGGAATAAGGAAATGGAGGCAGATAAAGGGGCATGAGTAGAGGCAAGGGGTCTATGTAGATATAGACAAGAAGAGAGTTAGTAAAAGAAAAGGCCATTCATCAGCTACAGAAAGCAGCCTGGAAAAATAAGTGTACAAGATGACTGGGGCTGCCTGGTTACAACCAGGTAAAAAATTGTCCATTTGACATCTCACCGTATAGCATTTCCATGACAGCCATAGTTGTCTAGTCTAGGAGACTAATTTCTAGGGAGTTAGAATTGCTATTAGGAGCTATTGGGCTGGCCCTTTTTTGGAAGTATATCAGTTTAGGCACTTGAGGATCTAGCCTTCAATTCTCATGCAGAAAAGACTGGCACCGTCTTCTGTGCTGCAGAGAAAAACCAAGCAGGAGATTAAAGAGACAGAACTTTTCTGAAACCCAAATAAAGTCCTAGTTCTATTGAGGTTTAGAGGAAAGGTTCACAGGAGTTTGTATTTTTTCCCCAGCTGGTTCACCATCTATTTTAGATGGAACCGTTTGATCTCTTTCTGCTTTGTGTTTCTTTCAGTTTCTCAAACAATAGGAGGAAGTTTGCCTGTTACGTGTGCTTGGGCCCCAACTAAGCTTTTCCCAGCTGGAAAAGTGACTCCATGAACTACAGAGGTTTTTTTCTAGCTCTAATTACAAGATTCCCAGTTCCCTTATGTATTTTGTAAGGTAGGTACAGGCTGTCTTAAGGGGAACAATAGGACATTCCTGAGTGCTTAAACAACTGCTGTTTCCCCACCGTCACCCCCTCTAAAACCTGAGGAGGGTTTAAGAACATTTGAGCTGTTCTGCTCAAGGTTACTGAGACCTCAGCTGAAAAAACATACAGGGAGGTGCACAGCTCTATGTAATGCTCCTGCTTTGGTGAGTAAGATACCCAGGCTCTTCCTGTTACCTGATTATATACACAAACATTCCAAACTCATCAGACTAGCTGGGAGAACTTGGCAAGCACACCGGGAATATCTGTACAAGAGGTAGCTGGCGGCACTGTCAGATAGACATGCACCACACAGTATGGCTCAGAGGCCAGCCTGTAACTAGCCTGGTAGGCAAACTTGTCTAAGGGACCAGCGTGGAACTCCTATTTCTATTAAGACCTCGTGCTTGACCTAAATATTCATCTACAGCAACAAGCAGGTCCCACTCATGAGCACACACTCAGTAAACTTCATCTCCCTTCCTCTGACAGGAAACCATCTAGCTGATCCTGACTGTCCCATCCCATCACACACCATGTGCAATATTGGTTACCATTCCACTGGATGAAAGGTGGGAAAGTGGACAAAGGAGACCATTAACCTTGACTGTAATGCTTGGAAGGGAGTAGAAAGACAAATAATTAGACTATAGAGTGGCTCTGGGTAATTGTCATCATCCCCTTGTCCTACTGGGGGTAAGCACCATCTTTTAGGGACCCTAATGTTTCCATTATTCTCACACAGGTAACATCCAGTTGGGATCTTAGAGCATCTGGGCACTAAGGAAGCAAATGGCACTGCTGTCCAGGACCAGCAATAGAGGGAAGGTAAGGAGTGGTCTTCTCCAGGCATCAACAACCAGAGGTGAATCTTCTACCACCTCCTGCCAACACTAAGTGAAAATCTCCCATAGCATTGCCTCACCTGTACAACTGTGGGCAGGACCTCTTCAAAGCAGCAGAGGTCAGTCCCAGCTTGTTCTGATTTCTCAACCGTGTCTTTCTCATAAGGTCTCTCATTCTCCCCCAAGCATGGCTCTCTCCCTAGGGAGCAAAAAGAAACCACAACCTGAAGGACCAGTGGCAAGTTGCTGGCAGACTTAATCTGGCCAACATATGATACTTTGGGGGACTCCAGGGTGGTGGGAAGAGGGCAATGTCTTTCAGAAAGATAGGGGTCAGGTTCCACAAAAGGATTTTTAACACTATGCAATGATACCTAGTGGCCAGCCTGTACCTTTATAGGGCACAAGGAGACAGGATGGAAGAATTGTGACTAACACCATCCTTTTTTTGTACTTTGTTTGGTAACATTTTCCTGTCTAGGACGCTGCTGTTCTATCTGACTTAAGGGTTCAGAGAGTGAGGGCACCTCACTGGTGAGTGCTGAGTAGCAGCCTAAGGGCAGCTTTACCCTATTGTTATACTGTACTAAAGGAAAAGATTGGTTTGGTTTCCTACCTACTCACATGCGCCCAGGGGGCCTTTACAACAGGACCCAAAAAAGCAGTTTGACTCTCTTATCCTTTCTATTAGGCCAGGTGCACTGTTATCAGCCCTTTTCAAGGTGGCAACTTTTGTGGACCATGAATTAGAAGAGATCAAGCCTTTGTTTCCCTGTCACGTCTGCAAGCCACAGCTATTGGGCCCTTACATTTGAAATGCTAATAGAGATTATCAGAAGGTCAGGGAGTCTCAGAAGGCCATCCCTAATGTTTATTCCCTCCAGGCTGAGGTCATCTGGACTCCTGAACTAAAAGGAGCTAAGAATCAAAAATTTTAATTTTTTTTTCTATATTGTTTCAAATTTCCTTAAGTGCTGGCTGGAAAACCTAGGGAACAGAACAAAAATGACGGTGCCCCAGAACTAGCATAATGGGTAGAAACGATTCCCATTTCAGTAAAGTTCTCAAACCATTATCACCGTCAGAGCATTGTTCTGCCCTGTCCCGAGGTTCCTGCCCACTGTACCACCAGCAGAGCCATAACTACAGGAGTTGTGGCCACCTTGAGAGCATAACCTGGCAGCTGCCCAGCCACACGTACCAGCCACAGCAGTGCCTATTGCAGTAACTTCCTGGGACTCTGCAGAGTTTTCAGTTCAAAACTTCAGATGAGGTCACAGGCTCAGCTGAGAACTGCAACACAGGATTCTATGCTATTGAGTTAATTGTCTGTAAGCGAGACTGTTTACTTGTGGAAATAGCAAACCTTTGTGTTTACTGCTAGGATTAATGTGTGCTGTGACAGGATTTTGGAGGCCTCGACAGTTAGTCCCTCGTTGTGCTGGTGTTGTCTCAGAAAAGCAAGCACAGCTAATACTGCAGAATGCCTGAGCAGTTGCCTGCTCCTGAGGGCTGTCATCTGCAGTGGGGGTGGCAGAACAAGGGACCACACGGGTAAGTCATAATATTTGTGTGTTACTTTGATAGTAAACTTCGGGGGTCAACAAACCTCTTTTGTTCATGTACAGTGCTGTGCAGTACAGAAGCTTGGTCCCTGATAATGCAGGCACAAGTTAAAAATATTCTGCAAAGACAGTACGTACCGAGATGTTCTTGCTGACATCCAGACCCTAAAAACAAAAAGCAAATACAATGATAAGTAACAAGCCAGTGAGACCATCTCCCATTGTTGGCAAAAGACTAGGCTTTGTTCTCAGCTCTGCCCTGGCATATACCCATAGCCTTGGTCAAGTCCTTTATCTCTTTACTGTTCAGTCTCTCACGTGTGACAATCCCTTCTTTCTTTTACCACCTCTCATCTCTCTTCAGTATTTAGACTGTTAGTTCATGTTTATAGTACCAAGTACGCTTAGGAAGAGTGTAGCAGACAGAATTCCCATACAGTAAGTGCACTGTAGGAATAAACGGGGCATTTCATGTTCGGGTTACAAAACTTAATACTAAGTGACAATACTAAGGTGTGATGTAAGAAGAGAGCACAAGGATTCAGTTTAAGGAGCATGGATCTTGGTTCTCCAGTCCTGTGAAGTCATCAGGACTTCCCATGTGCTTAAAGTACTCTGGAAGCTGACTGGACACAAGCCAGAACATGGAACACTTTTCAGAATTCAGCCTTAATTCGATTTCTGAAGTTCATCGAAGTGTTTGTGACATATTTACAACTTCGGGGTGGAAATTTCAGGAGAAGGTCTTTCCCGTGAGAGACCTACTATTTCCTCTTTCCTGTTGGGCTGGGAATATTCTGATTAGAGTCTCTGCGCTGGCATTTCAGCATTTCTGATCCCCACCGGAACATGAAAGTGCTGAGGCAGCCACAAACAATGGGAAAGAAAGGGAGAGGAAAGCACTTATCCTGGCTCCCTTAAACTTCTGAGACATGGATTCCCTAAAACATCCTTTAGGGACTGGAGCTAATTACATTGATATGCTGCTAGTCTGGTAGTAAGTGTGGACAGCTAAGGATTGATCCACTAAAATTTTTGTATGTGGTAATGAATGCTTGGTTTAATCTCACTAACATCAGTAGCGAAGATACTTATGACAGAGTCCACACACTGAGCTATTTGGAGTTGGTGAGGGCTAAAACCCATGCTGGTCTCTGCAGTGTTCCTTTCCCCTGCACCAGTGATCCATTTGTGCCTTTCTTGACATAAAGACAGTCCTTCTTCCTTTAGATCTGGGAGTAGAAAGACACACCCTGGCCCTCACTGTCCCAGCCCTGCTTGATAGCAGACAGGGTTGGTTTGTTCCCCTGGCACCTCACACTCACCTGCCTGAGCAGAACTTCTCTCTGCTTCTCCCACAGGTCCCACTCAGGGTCTGCCTTGAAGCTTATCACTCACCTTTCTTACTGCAGGGTCCTTTGATGGAGAAGCCTGTCCCTCAGCCATACTACTAGCTTCTCTGAACTCATTCTCCTTGTTGTTCCTATTGTTTGATGACTTCCTGAGCCCCACCATCAGCTGGCTCTTTCCTGATTCCGGGTATCTCTCGCTTCCTGCAATAAAATGCAAGGACTTGTTCACTCCTCTTAGCTAGGATGGCCTCTGGGCAGTGCTACCAGCAAGTTACAACTCCAGATGGGATTAGAACGCTAAGGACTTAAAGATGGGATGAAACCATATGTGTCTTCATGCCACACTGCAGTGGAGAAAAGGTTAATGCTCCAATAAAGTGCCTGACCATGGCAGGACTTTCTAAGGGTTTCTTCATGGTCTTCTTTTCCTTCCAAGCCTGCTCTGAAAATGCCAGGAGAGGGTATTTTTGAGTCTCAGCACCAGAGATCCCTAAGGCCAGTTACACCCTCGCTCAGTCCTCTTAGGAGGCATGCTGATATTCTGTGTTTCATCAGGTATTAGAGATGGGCTGAAGTCCAAGGTTTGAAAGAAACTCATTAGCATCACTTAGTGAGCTAGTTTACATCTAACATTGGATCCAGACTCTTCATCTGGCTCAGTCTTTCTCAGCCTTCTAGAAAAGTTGGTCTCTGATCCAAGCTTTGCAGCTGGGGCTTATTTCCACTTGGTCTTTAGAACAAGTCATCTTCCAGGAATGTGTTCTGTGCCTGCTTGAGAGGGTAGGAGACTAACAACAGGTTAAGGCTTTCTATCTTAGATCAAATCCTACCTTGCCTGGGAAGATTTTAAAGCCACACAGAGGGGCTCCACTAATGGACCCATTTGGGCATGCTAAGTTTCCAACAGAAAGACCCATTTTATAATGCATTTATCCTAATCTTTATAGCCACAGCTGCAGAGCAAAAAGCCCTGATTTGCACAACTGAAGCAGCCAGTATTAAAATCCTATGTATAGGCAAAATATTTTAAATTGCTTCTCTTGGATTTCCAGCTAAGGTTTAGTTCTACTAACACCTTACTCTATTCCCATTGTAATGGTTTGGTTTTAGGCCTCTTCCTGGTTACCAGGTCAAACCTAAGGAAGTACCCATACCCCAGTATTCCATTCTATTCTTTACGTAAGCTGAAATAGGGAAAAGAAAGAGGCTGGTCAGCTTATTTGACCAAGTGGTGGCAAACAGGAGGGCAGGTTAGACATATCTGAACTCACCATTGCAGCTGCTCAGCTTTTCAGTGTTCGCTCCTATTTCTGGGATGATGGAAAGATCAGATGCATTTCCAGTCTGAACCAAGAGGCTATGAGGTCTGCTCCTCCCAGCAAAAATTGTTTTCATGTCTTGATGTGAGCTGAAGAAGATGCTGGCAGCTCCACAGGAGCAATGCTGCAAAAGGTACTCCTATACCAAACAAAAAGAAAGTATGCAGGCTTTCAGGCTGCAACAGCCCAAGGTAACTGGACAGTGTGATAGCACAGACAAATTGCCATCATTCCAGCCCAGGGATGTCCATCCTTGTCCTGAAACCCACCAGAACCCAGACAAATTACTTAATTTTCTAAAAAGCTGAGTAGCCTGGAGTTGGTAATAGAGTTTTCATGGATTCATTAGCATTTAACTTAAATTGCCTGACACTAAGCATCTTTTTGGTTTGTTTCCTAGGAAGAACTGAGTATAAGTGTCTAAACACAGAGCTGTGCAGCTAAGGCATTAGTGTAAATAAACAGATCTGTTAAAACAATGACTCCAATTTTAAGATAGTGCTATTTGTTTTGGAACATGCGCAGACAACAATATCTTGTATTTTTGTTGGTGGGATGCCACAGTTCTCTTGCAAGTTACCAGTCAAATTGACTATATGTGGTATTTCAGCTGGTGTACTTCCTCTGTAGCTCCTGGAGTGTGAAGGGGAGATTTTCTACCTTACATGACCATATTGCACAAGAATTTGGTAGGGCAGGAAGCAAGAAGAGTTTTATCCAGATGAAGCAGAAAGGGAACCAAACTGTTTATTGGTTTTGGAATCAGGACAGGCCAACACCAGTTTAGCACCTCTGGAGACAAGCAATTGAAAGTTTCAATGTCACTTTTTTTTCCCTGTAAAGCAAAGGATGGGGAGCAACAGTGTTCCCTTTGTGTCCCAGGATCCAAGTGTCATCAGTCTCTGTGGTGATGTCTGTACTACTCTCAAGAACAGCACTGAGAGCATTGGTTATCTACAATCCTCGTGACCAGCTCTTACTACTACACTAACCACTCTCTGCTTTGGGGGTTGTGTCTTCCCTAGCCATATCTGGGACATGGAAACCTTTCCATGCTCATGAAGAGTGAATGTGGTTTGTAAAGGAGCCTTTGGACACCCTCCAAAAATACGATGTGGACAGCAATCTTCACGTCTCATGGCAAATGGGGTAGTAGTGTTCCTCTTCTATGTAGTCATATGTAGTCTATGTAGTCATAAGAACAAAATGGCAGAGAGCTGCTCAAATATAGGAGATGCAGGCACCACAGAGATACCTGGGAGAGCATCCAGTTTTGTAGAGCACACCGCAAGTGCTGAATGTTACAACTGGGGATCCAGTTCCCCACTGAACAGTATGGGACAAACGCATCTCCAGGGGCACTGCTGAGAAGTCTTGAAGATACCAAAAGATCAAGGTTTCAAATATTTAAATGAAAGCACAGTGCCTTTCATTTCAGTGGGAGCTGGGGAGGGGGCACATACACCAGATGAGTCTGCAGCTTGGAAGAGTTACTTTGAGCAATGACTCACCATTGTAAAGCTCCAGGAAATGTGTTAACAATTCCCAGGCTCTATGTAGGAGGCTGCATTCCTCTGAGCATGAGATGGGTACATGGAAATTACGAGCTACTTTGCTCTGCAACCTGACTCAGAACTTGGCTTTGGCTCTGAGGAGGAGTCAGTCACCTACTGCAGACCCAGTCCCAGCAGGTGGGAGAGCAGCACCAGGGGAAGAATGACGCGATTGGGAGATTAAAAGCCTCACCACGGTACAGCTGGGAAGAAATAGCTGAGTGTGACAAACCCCTTTTGTTCCTTTGGGGAGAGATAAAATAAACAGAAAGGCAGGGGAGGAAAAAAGCTGGAAACCTTGTGTGATGACTGAAGAAAAAGAGAAGTAGAGGTGGGGTAGAGCTGAACAAAATATGCAGGGGCAAAAAAATGCTGTTTAGGTGGACACTGAAATGATTTGCAAATTTCAGTCAAATTCCCCAGCTAGCTCTGGCTGATAAAAATGACAAATGGGAACACTGAGATGTTTTGTGTCAGAGATTCTTCATCTGGCAGCTCAGAAGCACAGGAAGGGAAAGAAAGCATGGAGTTGGATAGTAGCACCACTACTTTTCTTTCCCATTGTGTTGCTTTGTGAGAAATTCTGGGATTTTGATATTTGAAACCAAGAAGTTTCAAATGAAATCAAAATACAATTGCTAAGGAGGTTTGTGGATTTCATTTTGATAGCATTGAGGAGAGGATATGTGTTCCTGGGAAGTTTACAACTGTGGAGAAGTAAAAGCTAATGACTTAGACCTGGCCATTGCATGAGGTGAGAGGGGTACTTTTTAACCCAACAGAAGCAAGCACATCTGGGAAGCAAAACTGAAGAGGAACAGAAGCCCAAGCCCACCCTCAGGAAACTAAGCCCATTGTGGTGAGCAAAGGCTCCCTGAAGTCCAGAGTACCCAGCCCAGGTGGGTGATGGATCTGGTAAATTAGCATCTCCCCTCACACAGAACTTTCCATCTGGGCCATGACTATATAATTTAATGGAAGATACTATAGTGTCTGCTTACCTCTTTTAAATGGGACATCTTCTGCTCTTTCTGCAAGCTGCACACTTGTTTTTGGAGACGCAGGTTGTGCTCCTGCAGCTGCCCAATCTTTTCAATCAGTTGGCAAATGTGTTCTAGGTATCCCAGACCAGATCCCAGGGCTTTGCTGTTACCTTGGTTCACCTGCAAAGACAACGCATCTTGGACCATGGAGTAACAACAGAGCAATTCTAACTAGCAGCTAAGGGTCCTAGACCCTCCTTACAGTCACGTGTGCTTCCTCTTGCACGAGGCTTTGGTCATAGACAGATTTGAGCTACAGCATTGCTTGCTGGAGCTCTTTTCTGGATTACTCAGCAATATCCACAATCAGAGGGACTCTTCTGACTGATCACAGGCTGACGCAGAGGAAAACCTCATGACGACTTGTTTCTAGTTCCACCTCTCAGGCTAATTTTTGTCTTTTAGTACCCACAGGACCCTTACAAACAATTATGGTTCTACTGTATGGTATAGATGGCTGGGGCTAGTATGGCTCACTTAGCCCATAGTCCTCAGTGCAAATCACGCTTATGTGTACTGAGGCTGAGCTTGGCTCCTACTCAAAGGCACATATCTGCAGGTTGCATTGATTTGCTGTGTTGTGGCCAACCCGAGGGCACATTTTGTCTGAGGTACTCAGACTGCTACATCACTAGTGAGTTTCTGAGAGAGATGTGTGTATGAACCAAGCCACCAAAGAGAAGGAACATCTTTCCACTGGTCTTTAGCAGATCCCAACTTACATCCTGTTGCTACTTTCTCAGTCTTCAAGAGATGTTCAAAGAAAGTCTGCAAGATCAACTTTGCTGTCTAGCTGTGGTAGGATAATCTCCACTACCAATCTCTCTTCACCCAGCACTTGCCAGAGTCTCACTGCTGCTCCGTCTAGGGCAGTGCCAGAGACAGAAATCTTGCGGCAGAGGAAAGGCAACGATGCTTCCCAGCCCCCTGCTCTGCACCTCACCATTTCTGGTCCCAGGACTTCCCTGGTGCACAGCAAGTGTCCTCCCCTGTACCGTGAGCAGGCTGTGTTGGACGTGATGCAAACAAACTCATGCAGAGGCTCACTTCCACCTTGGCGCTGCCTGCTGATGTGCGTGTGATATTGGTAAGTAAAATAAGCCTCGATCTTTACAAAAGCAGTGCTCTAAGTTTATCTTACTTCAAAAAATAAGTTCCCTCTACAAAAGCAGGAAACTTACTCTGTCTCCTTTCCCACAACAATCTACATTTTTGGGGAAATGCCAGCCTTGGGACTCTTCCTGTCTTTTCATTATGTCAGAAAGCTCATGGTGTGTTTAAAAATAATCAACATTAGGATTTACTTCTTTTTAAACAAATGATGATACAACATTATTTATAAACAGGTATTATTATATCCAGATGGTTTTGTGTCTGAGGTTGGGACAGAGGTTATTGACTCCAAGCCAACGAGTCATCCACATTCATGATTTTTCTTTTCCTCTCAGGCAGAGCCTGCAGAAGTGATAGCAAGACAAGAGTTACTCAGCCATGAAACTGAGTATTCAGTGTGGCTGTGCAGTGGGAAGAGGTACAGCCCCGGGACCCAAAGGGAGACCAAAGCCTGTGTGGTGTCTGGTAAGAAAAGCTTGAATCAAAAGCACTATAACCAACATATCTGAAAGCAGCTAGGGAGTTGGGGGTGCCTAGCTTCAGAAGCATGATTTTCAGAAAGTACATGAGTAATAGCTTCTGAAAATTTGGCCATTTTGAGCAGTCCTGAAATGAACAGTCATTTTTTTGTATGCTGTCCCAATGGGTTGTCAGATGTTCCTCATTATCCTTGAAAATATAAGTTTTCTGCCACACTCTTTTTGCGCCCCCACACTCGTAGCAACTCCCCTTCCGCCGGTTTGCTGTTGCATGACTGTTGGCACACGTATTGCCCTGAGGACACACTGAGCCAAATCTAACCCCTTATATCTGTGGAAACAAAAGGGGAAGGTACAAGAGACAGAGGAGGTCTTAGAGAAGAGTATGATATAAAATATTTGATTCTAAACTTAGATTGCAGAAAAAGCATGAAGCATTTGTGACTTCTTTCAGTTAGAGACACTCTTTTTGTTTGTCCTGTACTTAACGCTGTACAGTCCTGCTTCACGTCCACAACTGCTAGGTTTGTAGGGCAAAATGGGCAGGGGGAAGAAAAGAGAAGGTGGCCCTGATTTCCAGTGCTCTGTGTCTAGGGCTGAAGGCACTGGAAAGAAAAGGTGTGTTTGGGGCAGGCGTGGAGAAAATCTGGCTTTTAGCAAAAGTTAGACAGAACTTCTAACTCCTGAGAGTAAATAAAGGTGCCTAGAAAATGAGAGGGAAAAGGTGAGGAGTAGTTGCTCCAGGTCTTAGGTGGATCTACCCCTGCAGAGGACCTAAACCAGACTGAAGGTTGGACTCAGTATGCTGAAGACCCCTGTTTTACAGCCAGCCTTCAGAGGCTGCTTAGGGCAGGCAGTTTGGCCTATTTGATAGGAAATTTATCTGCATTTTATTGAAGTGATCCCAGAAAGTGCAAATGAACAAGAGGCAAATCAGGCAGGGCCTCCTGTGCCCACACATTCCTGCATGGCCAGCCACCTCAGTGGTCAGCACGGAAGAGTAGAAACTTTTGCAGGGGGGGAGTTGCTTCACCTGGCTTGCCCTGCCACAGGGCCTGTTAGCATCAGAATTGCTCAGATATGGTAGGTGTTTGATACAGAAAATTTGTGCAATGTAGCTGGTTTCCCCCAAAACAATTGCGCAGAGAGGGCCTTTCTAGGAACCCTTCAAGGACTTTGTTTTTTCATAGACTAGAAATACCTAAACAGCCCTTTCTATCTTCTGGTGATACCAAGTGCATAGAATGTGGTCTGTCCTATTCTGGTCTAAATATTTTCCTTTCAGCACCTGAGACAGTTTTATGCTAGTAGTGAAGAGTGAGCAACCATAGAAAAACTGCAAACATTTTCCAGGATGAGTCTCTTCCAGACTCTGTCCTTCCAGTTGAAGCTTCCCAAAACATTCACCTAACAAGACTGAAATTTTTCCCACTTCGCACATGGGAATTGTCAAATAGTACTGGAACAAAAGCTGTATGCCCATTTCTGAGTTGATGAAATCCATGAAGAAGGAAAAACACCTTGCCTACTTTTCTGTAAGGTAAAGATGAGAAGGATCAGACAATTTATGAATCAAATGGTGGAAGTTGCTCTAGGAAAGTAACAACATAATGTATAAGTAGGTGCTGGACTTTGCTTTTAGGTACATGAGACTGAGTTAGACCCTCATCTGGAAGAAAAGGAGTCAAAGGCTCTCAGCCGTGCTGTGCTGAGTTACTCCCATTATGGTTTTGACCCTGCAGAGTTGAGGTTCACTACACTGACTTTACACCTGCGTAACTAAAAAGAGATCTCTGCCCTTGTCAGTGCTCACCTGAATAAGTTTTGGGGACAGCTTTTCGGTACATGTGTCTCTGGCAAAAAATCACTACAGTTGTGCTGGCCCACAGATTTCTTAGGAAGTTTAAAAATACAGGATCACTATCTGCACTGGGAACTATGGCTAATCCAGAGCCCTCGAGGCAATATTTTGACTAGTGTAAAATCACTTTTCCTCTGAGGCTACTCGAGTTGCAGAGGTGGAAACCTGTCCCTCTTGTCTTTGTGTAACACTGTGCTCACTGCAGCATCTGAGAGCTACAAAGATTTGAAGTTCAGTGGGAGCTGCAAGAATGACAATTACTTTCAAGCCCCTTGTCCAACTGATCTATAATCAAAATCTGCATTTCTGGTCACCTGAGCAGCAGTTTGTCCTGCCTCATTTCAGCCATTATCTGTTACTTGGATACACATGGTGTGCTTTTCATCAGTTGGGCTCAATGGACAACTGTCCTGGGCTGGACCTGACAGCAGGAGCTGAAGGTGATGGGCAGCTTGCAGGGGAAGATTTTCTTCATTCCGACAAGAGCTCACTGATGGATTTTGCACTGTCTCAGGTTTCTGCGCTTCACACAATGCTCTTCACTTTCTCTTATGGATAGTTTTGAGTTATACTGTGCTCCATCCTCCCATAAATCCCTCATTGCGTGCTCTTGCCACATGGGCACGGCCAGTAGAGGGGCAGCACAGTCACTGCACCGACCGCCACCAAGGAACATAATTACGGGCCTCCCATCATGGACTCAGAGCGACTGGTTCGTGACGCCGCAGGTTGAGCGGGAAGCATTTGTCACTGGAAGCTGACAGCACCAGGAGCCTTGTGAATAACAGGAAAGAGAGGGATCGTGCTGTATATTTCTGAGTGCTCCACCCTGCTGTCCAGGAGGGGCTGTGCTTGCCGATAGTGTCTGGTTTCCTCTGAGCAACACGCACAGGCTATGGGGATGACCATCACAGGTTGCTCTATTCTTCCCCTGAACCATACCACTCTGTAGAGAAGCATTTTGACTGCTTTGGCCCAGGATAAATTGCACTGCATGAATAATGAGGGGTTTTTCATTTAATGATGAATTATAACAATGTTCCCACCCTCTCTCTTCTTCTAGGATATGGGCTGACTTTAAATGTAAACTTTATGAAGTGTGAGGAAACGTTTGTAAAGCAAAAGCATCAAAAGCTATATATCTTCAAACTGACCCCGAACATTTAATTTTGATTAAAAGGAAATGCTTTTATTTAGGCTTCAAAGTTCTTTCTCTTGTTGTTTGACAGCTTCCACTTTCTTTCATCTTTCCAAATGCAGGCAAATTTCAAAATAACAACAGTTCAAAACAAAAGATCAGAAAGCTTTGTTTAAGAAATGCCGGACTGAAATGATTTGATGTATATTTTCAGCCAAAGCCATTCACCAACTGAATCCAAATGGTCAAAACATTTTGTTGTTTCCAGTCTCTCTTTTTCAGTATTTTCCTTCCTGTTGTCTTGGAAGTGGCCCTAGCAGTGAGGGAGGTCAGGAGGACATCAAGGGACAACCTCATCCAGAGACTGAATCCTTGCTTGGCTGTGGTGAGCCAGTAAGCGCAGTGCTGTTGGCATTGCCACAGCCAGCTGGGCTAGGGAAACTCAACTGCTCTCCTCTTACTTGGAAGCTGCGTTCCCAAAACAAGCAACAGAACTGAGGAAGTTGCCGTCACCTATAATTAAATAATGCTGTCACTTAGCATTAAATATAAGCCAGTGTAAGCACTCTTGCATGTCTATCAACATTATTGCAGCAGGAATTGATTTGATGGAGCAATTTGGTTTGCCACATTCTTGCCAAGCAGGGTGGGAATACCCTGTATACTGGCCTGCTTTCTTTCAGACAACACTGGTTGCATTTCTAGGGGTACCTGAGTCCCTCAGAAGACATCAGGCCATAGAAGAGATTGGCTTCTAAGTACCATGTTGTAACTTGGACAGGTTACAGGCAAATGTGAAAACCACAGAGTACGCCTGAAGCAGAACCCCAGCTGGGATGAACCAAGATGGATCCACCAGGTGTATGGACAGGTGATCATCTGGACATTGCTTCTGAGCAAGTCTCACTGTGTCCCACCTCTGTTATATGACAGTGAAGACAGGTCAGCCTTGTGCAGATTTGGTGAGGGCAGAAGGCTCTGCAGCTGCAAGAGGCTGTCCTGATGCTCTGAGGCACACAGAGCAGCACTAGCACAGGGCTGTGCAGCAGCCAGTGGGCATTTCTTGTCCCAGTCAGCTTGGGTGCTACTTGGCATCCCAGCAGTTTGAAGAGTGCTGCCCTTGAGATACAGCAGCCTGGAGGTGCTCTGTAAAGAGGGCCAAACTTCCTCAGCATCTAGGTCACAGCTGTATTTATACAGCTCAAAAAACAAAGACAGAAAAGTGCTCTGGGGCACAGAGCTTTAGCACTCAGTCAGTGAGGATATTAAAAAGGAGGGGAGATAAGCCACCAAGAGCTTCATTTCCTCTTCAGCTTCTTTCTAATTTATTCTCTTGTTTATTTAAATGCTCTGCTTTGGGAAACTGAGGCTCCATTTCACAAAGGATTTAAATGAATTTCACGGGCATAAAGAGCTGTCAGACAAGACCAATCTGGCTGCAAACCCTCCAGAGTGCAAGAGAGATTGTAGGTAACTTTTTGGGAAGTCTCCGTATGGTCAGATTCTGCTGCTCTGATCCTTTCCTGAACTCTCTGCCAAACGAACAGATCGCTGACTGTTTCGTATCTGTGAGAAATAGACATCTGTCTTCTGCCATGTGTGAGACAGCTCTGGGGAGGAAGAGGCTGCTCAGATGGATTGTGTGTTGCTTGTACTGCCTTGGTATGCAATGTTAACAGAGATGGGACATCTCTGACCTTTCTTGCTGCTTGAGAGGGTTTCCTGGAGAGGAAGTCCAGCACCTGATAGTTCATGGCTGGGGCAGAGAGGTCATGGTTAAACTGTATGCACAGCACACATCACTTGTTACTTGGCTTCCTCCTACCCATCTCCCATTCCAATTTGTCGCTATTACTGCAATGAATGCCCTAAAAAGAAATCCCCACTATGCACGGTTTGATGCTGGTTCCTGGAATCCACTGCAGTGGGCAGACAAGGCAGGGATCTGTCACCACTTCCGCAGCATGAGGCTTCAGGCAAAGCACAGGGGTGAGTGTTTGCCAGCATTTGCTACAGGAGAAGGCGCACAGAAGAGCTTTTTCTCTCCTGTCAGTGGCACAGTGTCCCCAGCAATGGGGAATAGAGGAATTATGGAATGGGACAACCTGCTGAAATTATGTCTTTTCGGTTTGGTCCATCACAGCTGTGCTGGTGAGTTAAAATGGCATCTCCAGCTCCAGCCCTGCAAAGATCTGAATTTGTGCATTAGCTCCCTGCTCATATATTATTTAGGAGATCTGGCTCAACAGGACACAACAGGCCTGGACAGAAATGTAATATCCCTTAGACAACTTCTGTCCAAATTTCAGTGCTCCAACAATGGTCTGGTTGTTCCCAGGTATGATGACTAACTTCACAATCCTCATTTTGAGACCAGAATCAAGTCCATCTTCTACTCTGGGGCTTTTTGAAACATCACATCTCCAAGAGCCATTTGTCATCCTTACCCAGACCTGATATTTATGAATTACTTCAGAATTTTACTGCTGTGAAAAGACATCTTAAAAATCAATTACCATTATTTTCAGCTTACAACAGTTTCAGGGGAGATACTCTAAACTCAGAAATGTCCTAATTTGCAACAAACAGGACTTGAACCTTGACTGGGGTGTTTGGACAGGCCTAGTTTAGGTGTTTCTTACCTCACTCAGTCTACAGCATTCATCCATGTATTCATTCAGACTGTCACTTGTGGGGTATTTCTTCAGAGGATGTCCGTGGATCTGAAGGTCTTGCACGCTGCCAAAATTCTCTGGGATATTGTCAGCAATTGTCTTTGGCTCTTCTATGGGACCTGGGGTGGAAAGAGTGCTTTCCCTGGAAAGGTCCATCTCTGGGGTAGGTTCCTTTTCCGGAAACTGCTTATCACTCTGGTCAAAATGTTCATCAGGACTTTCTTCCTGAGGGATGCTGAAGTCTTCAAGGGAAGTTGTAGGACCCTGCGCAGCATCTGCCTCCTGGCTGTAGTAATCATCTTGCTTTTTGCTCTCTGGATCTTGGAGGCTGACTTCTCTGGCATGTTCTTTACATGTTCTCATAAGCTGATGGTCAATTTCTGGAGAAGAAGAGGTGCTAAGCACACCCGAGTCACAAAAGGAGTCTCTGCTGTGAAGCACAAAGCTCTTCTCTGAGCCAGTCGGCGTTGATGGAGAATTAGCCCCACTCGGCAATTCAACCCCCGAGTCCTCAGATTCAAATTTGGAGAATCTATGAAGTCGGCACTTGGACTCGAAGGTGCTGAGGTCAGGCAGGGTGGCTACATAGTCGGTGCTTGCCAGGCCATCTGCACAGTCTGGATCTGCCGGTGCGGCTGCTGCATTTGGATTTCCCAGGCAGTCTGGTGGGAGGCTGGCGCCGGGAAGATGGGGCTCTTCTGTGCAGGCTGTGTCTGCTGGAGCCTCTGGGATTAACCCTGGGTTTTGAATTCCTTCATTACTCAATATCTTCATGTGTGTTAACACAACTTTGTCCTCAGCAGGTGGGCTCTTCTTACCTGCTTAAAAGAAAACAAATAGAAGGTCACAGAAGGTAACAAAACTCAGTGTCTAACGCATCCCCTGAGGGATGTGGAATGTATGTTAACTGTCTATACTAGGGTGATAGAAGGGGGCAGCCCTAATTTGCTTTTCTTGAGCTATATGAAGCTTTCTTGTAAGCTTTGCTACAACAAAAGTGTTGTGTTTCATAGCCCCTGAGTCCTTTAGAGGGACTCATAAATGCATACAGTGTTCTGATTTAGTAGATAGGTAGAAAACAACACATGTACCCAGATGACTTTTTAGTGATTACTTGCATATAGATGCAGAGAAGTACATGTTCTTTTAGTATGACAGACATTAATTTAAGGCAAATATTCTCTCTGATTTAAATGCATTCTGAACCAGCAGAAAAAAGAGTAAAACAAAATCTGTCTTTCCACAGGCTTGAGTGAATTTTGGGTTGCAATAACCAATTTGCAAACTGTTTGGTAATCTCTGCAGTATTCTCTGCACACATACAGGTGACAAAAGCAAGTACTGATAGGAAAAGCAAATGAGGCACTTTTACACTCCCCGTATGGTTTTAGCTATGAAGTAATTTCTTTAAATGAAGTCCGACATATTTGTAAAGAGTAAGGAGATGGGGGCAGCTTTGTTCAAGAGCTTTTTGCACATGGACAAAGAAGATTTGTTTTCAAATCACAATTATTTTACACAGTAATGTGGTAGAACAATCTCTGGATGAAAAGCTGATCTTCAGCAGATGAAGATCTGCCCCCAGGTTTACTTATAGTTTTTATTAATATAATATTTCATAGTGGAGACTTCTGGATCACAATCGTATGAGAGCCATTTAGCAAACTGCAAATCTCAGTTCCAAATCCAAAGATTGTGAATTTGGAACCAGGAATTACTGCAGTACAAAATTTCAGCTTCTCTAGTATCTTTTCCCTTATTAGTGCCTAACTCAGAGCACCTCAGAGGGCTACGATGCATACACTTTTCTGGATGTGTTACTTCCTACATCATTTCCTATCATTCTCCCCTCCTCTTTCCTTTCTTTTCACCTGAATCAAACCAGTAGCAGCTTCACAAACTCACTCCCAGTAGTGTAACTGCGCCTCGGATCCACACCACCAGTGGTGGTGCAGGGAAAGCTGTGCTGTGCAGCTCTCCTTCATGGTAACCCAGAAAACTCCCTGTTTCAGCAATAACCCATTTTCCAGCCTTCCCTCCTCCAGCTCACATTCTGCAATATACACAGACAAGGCAGACTTTTACTTACTAAGGCCAAGTGAACTAGTATATGGACATTTTCTACTTTATTTAAATTTCCTTTATTTGATCTTGTGAATTTCCTGGGATACCACTGAAATATGCCCTTTGCGTAGACACCCACAGATTTAATATTTTACACTGGATTTTCATAAAGGGCAGTCAGTGATAAATAATCCCATCTGATGGGCTTTTTTTGTGGAATTTGGGCACATAGTGCTTATAACACCTTATATAAGATCTTGTTTAGCCTATACAGAACTACACTGCCTCCCTTAGCAGGATTGACAGGCATCTCTCCAGTACAAATAGTCTGGAGAAGAGAAGGCTTAGAGGTGACCTCATCACTCTCTTCAGCTACCTGAAGGGAGCTACCAGGTGGGGGTTGGTCTCTTCTCCCAGGCAACCAACAATAGGACAAGGGAACATGGGCTCAAGCTCTGCCAGGGGAGGTTTAGGTTAGATGTTGGGAAGAAACTCTTTACAGAGAGAGTAATCAGGCATTGGAACAGCCTGCCCAGAGAGGTGGTGGATTCACCATCCCTGGAGGTTTTTAAAAAGAGATTGGATGTGGCCCTTAGTGCCATGCTATAGTAATTGGAGTTGGATCAGGGGTTGGACTTGATGATCTTGGAGGTCTTTTTCAACCCAATCTATTCTATGATTCTATGATTTTGGACAGTCAGCGCCAGACCTCAGCAATACACCACCAGTACATTGTTGTGGTGAGGCAAAAGAAAAAGACATTGCCCACAGAAATGCCCAGGGAAGCTCATCAGGAGCTGCCTGTGCTGGGCTGTGTTGTCCTCCTTCTGCTTTTTGGATAAGCATCCTCATACTGAACTGAGGACAAAGAACAGGGTGGCTGGTTTGCAGCTTCACACACAGCAAAACACCAGCTATAAGAGAGAGCTGGGTGCCAGGTCTTGGAAGGAGGTGGAGCTGAGTCACTTCTGATTTGGAGTGAAGAGGATCTACCTGCTCAGCTGCAAACACCTCTTGGCAGCGAGAGGCAAAGCATGTATCTGCATGAAAAAATACAAGGCTTACAGGCTCTCCTGATGGCATCACCACTCCAGCTGGCCAACAAAACCACTGAGAGTCAGGAGGAGAGCAGTTGCATTCCTGCACTTACTTTTAAGAACAAACCATACAAGTGTCACTCTTACCAGGAATTACTATATGCAATAGTAGTTCCTTCCCACAGACTCTGATTGCCTTCACTTATTAATCATGCCATGCTTTCCTTTGACTGGATTTTCTCACTTCTTTCAATCTGCCCCTTTTTTTTTCTTGCTTAACTGGTTTTGCTCTGGCCTACACAAACATTTCTTTGTCTGAAATCAGGAAGCAGCATGTTAAAATGTGGTCTTGCTACTTACAGAAAGAGATGTCAGACACTTTAATTCATATCGTTTATGACTACAAAAGCTGCAATGTGTACCAGAAAGTTTGGCTGCAGTAGAAAAAAAACAGAAAATGAGATGAAATCTCTGACCCTCTGTGTGAGGATTGCCTTGATGCCAACAACAAAGTCCTTTGCTCTCCCCCTACTGTGGTCACTAGCAACATCACATGGTTTCACAGAAATTTCTTGTTTATCTGTTCCAGGCTGCAAACCATTGATCTCAGCATTGTCATATCCTGTTAACTACAGTGTTGAGTATTTCTTATTTATCCTCCCAACCCTTTGTGATGATGCAAAATATTATCATCCCCCTACCACAAGACCAGAATAGAGGCAAAGGATGGCAGGATTTTGCAACACAGGCACCTCATCTTCATTCATTCAATTATACTTTCCCATGGTCACTGAGGTCATCTTTGCTACAGCAGAGATCTCCCATGATTAAGGCAGTGACCTGAAACTCAAGTTATTCTTGTTGCACCTCAGTGTCAGAACAGTCTCTCTTCCTCTGTGTTAACTGAGTTATGGAATCTAAACCATGGGGCTTCCAACAAGCAGATTTTTTCTGCTACGTATCTTGAAAGAGGCGTACAAAAGTGCTCAGCTCTTTCAAGCATATTGCTAACAAACACCAGAATGGTGCAAATAAAGCTCATCTGTGCAATTAAAAAAAAAAAAAAAAAAATGGAGCCAGAACCTCAGCTGCTATAAATTTACTAATTTCCAGAGCCCTTAACAGAATTGTGTTAGCTAGCTAATTTTGGCTGATGACTTGGCCTGAAGTGCTTTGTTAGGAGCCCTAAGTAAAGCAAGCTAGGGAGATGAACTTCTGGCTGGCACTGGAGGGAGCATGCTGCAGGGGTATGGTTACAATCCTGCTCGGAGACTTCTGAAAGGAGGTGTGAAGAGCTTCACAAAGCTGAACGGGTGCATTAACGACGGTAAGATGTATTTAATTGTGCTGGAGGCCAGCCAGGTTTGACACTGCTGCTCCTGGGAATTCAGCCAATATTTTTTTGTTGTTGTTTTTTGTTTCTTTTCTCCTGGACTGGTTTTCCACACCCCTCTGGGTGGAGGTAAGGTATCAAACGCTGCAGCTTTTAGGCAGCCAGGGAAGGAGTGGAGTTTTGTGTGCATGTTTCAGAATAAGTACAGCTTCTTGAAGTATCTCGGCATGCGTGCCCAGCCCAAACCTTGTCTCAGGTTAGCTTATGCTACTTGCTTAGTTGCCCTCTCAAAGGGTTGTATGGTTCTGTAATCACCCTAGAGATAAACAGGGTTCCCTGGATTGAAATATGTGCTGTAACTGAGGGTGACTGATTATGCGTAACCTTGGGAAAGTTGCTGGGTTTTCCTGTGCCCGTACAGCTGGAGAACAAGATTGCGTCCCAACTCAGGGGAAGGTGGTAACACTGACTAGCTATTCTCTGAAGGGGAGCCCCCGGTGGTCCAGGGGAAAATTCACTGCACTGTCACTGCAGAGATCCGGGTTCGTTTCCCGGTCGGGGCCCCTCCCCGAGCAGATGGAGCTCGTTAGCCCGTAAGGCAATCCATCTACGTCCTGAGGACCTCGCTGCCACCGTCCAAGCATGCTTGGCCCCGGCAGATGAACCTCAGGATTAAAGGGTGGGCTCAGTTCCGCGCACACTGTGTCTCACCTAAAAAATCCAATGTGCAGGCTGGAAGGTGGAAAGACCTTCCCCGGTTCTTCGTTCGCGAAGAGACTGGCCATTCATTCATTCTCTGAAGGTAATTAGTAGGGAGTGAAAGGAATGGATGTGTTCCAGCTAGGTCTCTAGAACTTTGCTTTGCATCATTTCCAGATTGTATTCTAGCATATTTCTCTGTTGGCAGTTAGCATAGCCTAACAGGGAAATATGTGTCTTTTAAAGGTGAATATCCTCCCATCAGCTCCTGTCCCAGGGCTTCCCTTTTTTGGAGTTTTAAGTCCAAGTGTGTTTTTCCAGTTGCATAATAACTAGCAGCTGTCACAGCTCAGCCTGGTGCATTAATACAGAGAGTTCTGACCAGTAGAAAGACGGTGGATATCTAAACATGAAATTGCTCTCAAGCATTTTCTTTATCCCAAGTAACTTCCATGCAAGAGACGAACTCCAACAACTGCCCAGGCAAAACTCCTGTGTGTTTCCAGTCCTGCTCAGGCCCAATTCCTGCAAAAGCTCTCATCTTTCTAGTAAACCAATCCAAAGTCTGTATCCAAATCTCCATGCTCCAAAGCACTAGAATCCATGCCTGTTTTTTTTTTTTTTCCTTTTTTTTGCATCTATGCCTATGGCTCAAAGCTGTGTTTCACTGGCAATTCCTTCAGCGCAAGCCTCGTTAAGCTACATCCCTGAGAGAGCCCTTGGCCTCTGATGCACTGACTTAAGTACCATAGCACATGGTCTTCGGATGTATCAGGCTAACTGCTGGATGGGAAGAGGCCAGGCTGGCAGTGGGATGAGTGCTGCTAGTGGCAGTAAAGAGCTATACTATACAGCACTGCCCTTTGCTGCTCTCTTCCCTTCCAGTCTCTGTCCCCCTGTCTTCTCAAAACGTTCAGCCTCATTTGTAAGCTACTTGGCAGAGGGGGATCTCTGTTAAACATGGGCACAGTGACTGGCACAACTGGAACCAAAGCTCTCCTTGTCTTTGCTGCTGGAGCAGCATTGGACCCATGGCAGCCTTCTGCTTGTCCACAGAGCTGATGCAAGGTCCGTGTGCACAGTAAACCCATCCATGGTGGGTGGTGCTGGTAGGGTTGTGCAGGGTGAACAGTCCAAAGATACTCAGAGAATCTATTCCTCCCCCTACCACTGTCTGCCACAAGACATTGCAGTTCATATGGCCAGTACTTTTCAATTGTACTGTGCCAAAGGAACAGAGCACCAAAAATAAAGGGCATCCCCAGTGCCCTTTAACAGGTTGTTAGAGAGAGGGACTTTGCATAGCTGCCCTGCAAAGGAAGACCAAAGTCAAACCCCAGCACTGCTACCAATCTGCTTAGCCCTGAGTACAGGAGAAAGATGCACATGCTAAGCCCCAGAAAAGGTTTTTCATCATCCCATAGAGTATGCACACAGCTTGCCTAGCAGCTCCTCTCTGGGCCCAGCTTAAAATCCTGTGCCATGCAAGACTGGTTCTGTGATGGGCTTGTGCCCTTCAAGTAACAAACTAAGAGATGATCACTGGCTTTTGAAGAATCATTAGGTAGCAGTGACTAGTGAGCTGGAGTCAAACTCATGACCTAGAAATGAAAGGCTGCTTCTCCCATTAAGTCCTTGCATTCCCTCATTTTCCTTCCTTCCTTTCTTTACAAAAAGTCTCCCTTTAGTTCTGTCACTGTGCCACATTCTCTAACACTGCTGGCAGTCCAGCTCAGGTGGTATTTCCCTTTAACTTGCAAGAGGTGATTTTTTTTCTCACCAATGATGAGGTCTCAATTTCCCAGCATTTAAGAGAAAAGGGGTCACTTCCTTTCTGAAACAATAGGCATTTTTTGCTGCTGACTCTTCCCCCATATGTGCTGAGGGGTGGGGCTGGGTGCTGGGGCATGCTCCTACCTCCTCAGCACCAGCGGCCCCCACACAGGGCCTGCGGGAGTTGTGTTACTTTCCCGGCTGGGCAAGGGCTGTCCCTTACAGAGCCCTGTGGGCAAAGGGAGGCACTGCATGGACAGGACCTCAGTATTCACAAGAAATGGATTACTCTTATGCTGCCAAAAAACTAAACCCAAACAAAACAACCCAACAAACAAAAAAAATCCCCACCCCCCAAAAATATGCAATTAATACCAATCGACGCTCTGGGAAGAAAATCTATCTCTATGGAGCTTTGCCATGGATTTCCATGGGGCAGGGATCTCCCCAGCTATCCAGTGCTTTAATGGACTGTTTAAAGACGTGGTCCAGTCCCGGCAATGGCACTAAGAATCTGCAATCTGCCTTCCCAATGCCTTTTAAGCAAAGTGTGCTGAGTGTGCTGCTGGACCTTGGGCTGCCCAATCTGAGCAAAGGCTTCTCCTAAACAATTAGGACAATCATGAGACTAAGAATTTCTAAGAAGAGCTTATCAGAAGGCCTTATGTCTGCAGTGTACCAGTTACAGCTTCTATCTACAACAGCAGAAACTTGTGAAGGCTTTTTTTTTTTTTTTTTCCAGCCAGAGCCGTGACTGGAAAATTTACATTTGCAGAATGTGGTAGCTGAATATTTGCACTGTAGACCAAATTCTTGAAACTTCAGTTTATCCAGCTAGGAAACTAAAATGCATGTGGATTTCATGAGAGTACATATACAATTTGATTGCTTGAAATGTTGAATGCAAAGGCATAGTTATGACAAAGCTGAGATTTTAGATAGTCCTTGGAAAAAGCAAAAATTTTTTGGATCCTTTGGCTCCAAGGTGGTCTCTAGTCTCACTGTTAGATAAGTGTATGAAGTTCCTTTGGATCCTAGTTTGGTAATATAATGTAACCAGAAATTTTATAGGTCCCCACAGCTGCATCTGGTAATGATAAATCCATATAAAGTAGATGCTCAGAGAAAGATAACAGGGTTCAAGGACCCTGACTGAGGAGACATTCATTACTTTAGTACATATGTTTTAGAAGAGGAGGAGATAATTATAGCTCTTTGCAAGCGTTTGAGGAGGAATGAGGAGGAGAATGACTGTTTACTGATTGACACAGTTGGGTGAACTAAAGAGGAAATGGATTTCCAAGTAGAGAGGCCACTTGACACTTTTACAGCTTGCTTCTATTCATTCCAAGTGACCTGTGAAGTTTTTGAAACCTAAAGACAGGTCTGATAGATTAGTGACCTCTGGTAGAAAGTCCCGGGGCACAGCAGGTCCCCACAGACCACCTGGTTTAT